TTAAAGTTGGTGGTAGATCAGAAGCATTCAGGGAGAAGTATTTCCCCCAGAATGATAATTAATGAGGCCAGGAGATTAGCGGAAGAACGAAAGAGTTTTGCAGAATAGAAAAGTTAGAGTTTGTGAAACAGAAGGGTTTATCAAGGTGCAGAAAAAAAATCCATTGCACAGGAAAATGCCAGCTAATTTCCAAGAATATCTTTGCCTTAATTACACCCTGCTGAAATCAGGGTGCGTCTATTACATCCGGTTAGTGTCACAGTAAAAAGAAATCGACACAAAAACCCACAAGCCTATTTTTTTAAGTATTCTGCTTTTGAAATTAAATTAATCTTTTTTGCTTGTTTGATATCGCCCGAGGAGACACATTTGTGGTGTTGAAACATGATTCTAATCGTGTAGCGATTTTTAACATTTTTTTATATATATATATATATATATATATATATATATATATATATATATATATATATATATAATGAATTATTCGCTGTCAATATATAATAGTCTATATTTAAATATCCTATAATTATAATATATCATATACACACCATTTACTTTGTTCCTAAATATTTTTTTTATTTTAAAAACGTGTTAAATTGCCATATTTGACTGTATATAAAATGCACTTTTAACGTGTCTAGTAGTGAGTTAACAGACATGATTTTTACAAACGCCCGCGTGAATGGTAATGGACGTGAGGCTGCACGTCTGTGTCAGATGTTGCTTCCAGACCGAAGGTACCTTTTGCTGCTGTTTGTCGTCGCGTTGCTGAAACAGGATCCATGTCACTACAAACTATGGATCGAGAAAGACCGAGATTCGCTCGTAGGTCTGTCCACGAAGAACACATTCTACAGGCTATCGGAGACGATGCAGGTATCAGCACACGTCAAGTGGCCCTAGCATGCCGCATAGTACCGCATGGAGGGTACCTCAAGAGCAGCTCCTGTATCCGTATCATTTGCAACGTGTGCCGGGTCTTTCACCCTCTGATCAGTCACCACGGGAGAACTTTTGCCGATGGTTTATTGCACAAACTGCCGATCCGTTGTTCGTCTCTTCAGTTTTGTTTACGGATGAGGTAACATATTAAAGAGCATCAGTTTACGATTAATGTGCGGACTGGAATTCTAGGTGACTGTCTGGTAGGTTCATATGTTCTCCCAGTAAGTCTTACAATAACTATCTACAGGGACTTCATTTCGAACACATTTCCAGACCTGCTAGAGGATGTTCCCCTGCTAATACGAAGATGCATGTGGTTCATGCATGGTGGAACTCCAGAACGTTTTAGTCAAATGCATTGGCTGACATTTGATATGAAACATGGATAGGGAAGGGAAGACCGGTCCCATGGCCTCCACGTTCCTCCGACTTCAATCCCTTGGATTTTATCTATGGGGCCACCTAAAAGTGTTGGTATATGCAGCAGAGATTAGTAATACATGGGCGCGTTATCAATGCGTCATGGAGCCTAGTGTCACCATTCGATACCGTGTGGGAGTATCTGAAAGTGTCCACCAGTCAATGATCCGACGGGTGCATGCGTGTGTAGAAGCAACCGGAGGACATTTTGAACATATATTATGAGTTGGTGTGTTGAGGTACAGTGATGACCTTTTGGACATATGTTTTATATGGACATTTTACCTTGTTTTGGTATCAGGAACCCGCCCCCAACGTTTGTAAAAGTATTTTTGATATACCCTGAATGTAATTGTACATTTGGCTCAGTAATCCTTTTTAATACAGAATTCATTGAAAACAAGAAACAAGGCACTGGTCTCTTTTCTTCTCTCTCTCTCTCTCTCTCTATATATATATATATATATATATATATATATATATATATATATAGCAGTGTCTTGTTTATATATATATATATTTATATGTTTTTTTATGTTATTGTTTATATGTTTTTAAGTTGTTTATATATATTTATATGTTTTATATATATATATATATATATATATTATATGTTTTTATGATCTCTCTTTCTTTCTCTCTCTCTATATATATATATATGTATGTATATATAGCAAGTGCCTTGTTTTATATATATATATATATATATATATATGTATATATGTTTTTTATGTTATTGTTTATACATTTTAAATGTTTTTTATGTTGTTCATATATATTTATATGTTTATATATATATATATTATGTTTTATGATCTCTCTCTCTCTCTCTCTCTCTCTCTCTCTATATATATATATATATATATATATATATATATATATATATATATATATATATATATAATTGGTGTATACGGAATGAATTCCAATAACCAACATCTACTATTCTTAAAAGAATGCTCAATACAGAGTAGAGCAGATATAATTATTTATTTGAAAAATTATAACATAAATATATTTATAAAATCACTACAAAAATAGCCATTTTGTTCAATACCTCCGGTGTGATAATCACCGGAGATGTTGAAACAAATGGATATTTTTAGTGATTTTATAACATATTTATGTTATAATTTTTCAAATAAAATATATATATATATATATATATATATATATATATATATATATATATATATATGTCCGCCATAAACATTTTATTTGTATTTTTAATACTACCACACATGAATCTAATTTAAAAAAAACGAAGAACGAGCTAACTAACCGGTTTCAAACCTCGCTTGAATTTAAATTAAAAAATATGAGGTTAATAAATATGTATATGTTAATAGAGGTATGTTAATAGAGGTTAATAAATGTGTATATGTTAATAGAGGTTAATAAATATGCATATATTATCAATAAAAGGAATATATAAGGAATATAAGACAAGAAAGAATATTGAATGGAAATCAATTGGAGGAGGCCAAGGACAAAACCGTTCTGTTTACAGAGCGAAGGCTTCTTTTGATAAAATATATATGGCCTCCAATATCTTAAGGTGGTAATTTGAGTGGGACCTAGTCAGTATGGAAAATGACTTCACACTGATATTAGCAGCATAATTGTGGTTATTTATAAGGTGTTCCGCTATGGAAGATCCATATGTATTGATCAGAAGATCCGATGGTGAATAATTAGTTCCGGCTTTTTGCAGACACATCTGGCTTAATCCTAACATCCAGACTCTGATTCTTCCTATGTAGTGTGAATTGGAACGACATTTAAATAAATAAATCAGGGAATTATTATGGTAAACGTCTTTGCACCTGGATAGAAGGACAAGTATAGCAGTTTTTTTTTCTTTTAATTATAATTATGTGTGGTAGTATTAAAAATACAAATAAAATGTGTTTGTCTATGGCGGTTATTAACATTTGTGCCACTAATAATAATAATATATATATATATATATATATATATATATATATATATATATATATATATGTGTGTGTGTGTGTGTGTGTGTGTGTGTGTGTGTGTGTGTGTGAAGAAATATAGTTTTAAGGTGCGCTATATTTATGGGATAAAGTGCTCAATATCAGAGATAGAGCGTGTGTAAATATAAAAGTGAACATAGAAGTCAACACTCAGAAGCGACAGACTGTTTCATGCTAGACGCAATCATCAGACCAGATGGTAGTATCTAGCATGAAACAGTTTTCAATGTTCAATTTATATATATATATATATATATATATATATATATATATATATATATATATATATAGTGAGAGAGAGAGAGAGAGACAGACAGACAGACAGACAGACAGAGAGAGACCGAGAGACAGAGATCGAGAACATGGATTGTTAAGGAAACATGTGAAATGTTCTATTTGTGATTCTGAATTTTTGGGAATGATCACACTTATTACCTATAGGAAAAAAAAAGCACAAGATGAAAAATGATGGCGAAAATCTAAACGAGAAAGCTGTAATTTTTATCGGTCAGGGATTAAACATACAATTTTTCACAGATCACATTTAAATATTAATCAAATCTTACAAGTTGTGTATTGGTTTCTCATGGCTAATGTGACTCATGAAGAAATTTGTGACTAGGTAAACATCGCATCAAACACATTAAAAAATGGTGTAGTTTCTGTCAGGAAATATTCATTTATTAGCCCGATAACATCAACAATACAAAGGAGTAATTTGATGCTTATATTGCCTTTTCAGGATTTAAAATAAATTATGTCCAAGAAGAAAAGAAGTTTTCATTAATTTTGTATTCCTGTGTACCCATAATCTGAGTGAGTCAAATAATTAAAAAAAACGACATTCGTTAATAAATTATGGTTTAAAAAACATGTAAAGAAAAATTGCAAATCAATCGTTATGTTCTGTCTTTTTAATTCTTTTTCTTTTATTGTTCTCCCGCCTTAATAGTGTTTTTCCTTATATTCTCTATCATTCAGTAACCACCTCCTTGAGTCTTTATTACCTTACTTAGTGTGAAATATTTAAAACAATAAGTATTTAAATTTTTACCACAAAAGAACATGTAAAAAAAGTGTTTGAAACATCAAAGAAGATTGCGTCTATATTTTTGAGATGAAGTATTGTAACTATTTACACTATTTACATCGTTTGGAATGCTGTTCTCATCTTTATTGTCATATTCACGACGTTTCGACCGCTGTACGTTCTTCAGTGAGCTAAATAAAGGGATCGATTCGAAATTTCAACGTTGAAGAAAGCCGGAGCGTACAACTGCCGAAACATCGTGAATATGACAATAAAAATGATGGCAACAGTCCGAACAATGTAATTAGTGTTAATTGTTATCAAGGAAAATGTTTTAAACGCGAAAATCATAGAAACTATCAATGGTTCCTTTTGCCCCAAAGAACAATGTCATCGAAAAATATTGGCTGAATTTTACGGTTTATCAACCCTTTTCAGGTTATTTAAAGAATATATTTTTTAAAATGTAAGAATTTATTTTAAAGAAAATAATGGTTTTAGGGATAGAGATGGGAATGAGTCGGCTTCATACCTTTCCCAATAATATTTGCTCGTAAATGAATATAAGGAGCCATTATCCATTAAACCACTCGCGCCTCCAAGGTTACAGAACTTGGTATTCCCAGGCGGTCACCCATTTAGATACTTACCAGGCTCGACCTTGCTTAACTTAAGGGATCGTTCGGCAACCGGTGTTTCAGCGTGATGTGGACTAAGCCTAATCGAAGAATAACTCAAAGCTATTGCTACATTTTCCTCGGAAATCCTAAGTGTTCACATCAAAATAACTCAGTTTTGGACATGGAAAGGTTGTTCAAAATCTAGTTAAGTTTCTAAACTTTTTGAACATCGGTGGCATAACTTCCAACTGGCTTTAACTAAAAGTTCACTAAAATCGCAATCCTTTGCTGGTGTTTGCTTCCATTCGTAAAAAAAATACGCTAGAATTAGCATTTTCACTCTGCCGACTGCTGATGGCTTAGGAGTAGAAACTCTGACTGGCACCAAATCGGTCGGGTTTCGATCATCAGACCAGATGGTAGCATCTAGCATGAAACAGTTTTCAATGTTATATATATATATATATATATATATATAGAGAGAGAGAGAGAGAGAGAAAGAGAGAGACAGACAGACAGAGATCGAGAACATGGATTGTTAAGAAAACATGTGAAATATTCTATTTGTGATTCTGAATTTTTGGGAATGATCACAATTATTACCTATAGGAAAAAAAAAACACAAGATGAAAAATGATGGCGAAAATCTAAACGAGAAAGCTGTAATGTTTATCGGTCAGGGATTAAACATACAATTTTTCACAGATCAGGGTTAAAGGCTTTTGGACGTCTAGTCGCACTGAGGAGCTGTGATACTGCGAAACAGTACTGTCTGCGAATGACACACAGACACACACACACACATATATATATATATATATATATATATATATTTATATATATATATATAGAGAGAGAGAGTATCCCAAATAAAATGACGTAATTTAAAATGAGAATTTCTGAGTAACTACATGTCCCAAGTAAATAAAATTAAATAGGCTTCATGTTGAACAATAAAAAAATTATTTATCACAATTCGAACAAGATATTCAAAGAGGTGTAGATTTTATAACCGATTTCACAAAGCTTCACTAATGCCCATCATGCGCAACACATGTGAGCCGACACACGTCAAGTTGGTAGTCCAGCTCTTGTCAAACAAGCTGTAGCATTTACACTATTTACATTGTTCGGAATGTTGTCCTCATCTTCGTTTTCATATTCACTACGTTTCGGCCAGTGTACGCTCTAGACTTCTTCAGGTGATTGGAATTTCGGACTGAACCCTTTATTTCGTCCACCGAGGTAGATTGTTCTAGTTCTACGTGCCTGGCAACTTCTGGATGTCAAGTCACTGGATTCAGCCATCTCTTTTATCCTCTGGACCATGTCTTTGCGTTAAAGGGAATGTACATGGCACACTTCAGGCACCGGCCGGTGATGCCCATCTTCGGCCGTTGTACACTATTCAGATGATTGGAATTTCGTAAACTGATCTCCTCAAGAACACATGGCCCAGTGGATAAAATCTAGTGACTTAACCCAAAGAGTTCAATACTTGGCTACAGCAGAGGTGAAAAAACTTGCACAGTTGAGTTAAGTGAAGATAACTGACACTGAGATATCCGGAATAGGCATGGCACGTGGAACACGAACAATTTACCCCGATGGACGAAAATAAAGGGTGCAGTTCAAAATTCCAATCCCTGAATAAAGCCGGGACATATCCCGGCCAAAATGTGAATATGGCAACGAAGATGAGGACAACATCCCGAACAATGCAAATAATTGCAATACCTCATCTCAGAAATACAGACAGACGCTGTAGCATGTCTTGCGTAACATTCTCCAGTGGCTCAGTGATTCTCTGCTTGATTTTCTCTAGGCTTGTAAAAAGAGTAGAGATATAGACCTGTCCTTTCACGTCGCCGCGTAGAGAAAAAAAATCACAAGGTGTCAAGTTAGATTAACGTGGTGGCCATTTTAACAGCACATTGTCATTATCACTGGCACGTCCGATCCATCTTCCTGGTTGATTCTCATTGAGATAGGGCCGCAGAGTCAACTTAGATTTTACACATTTTGTTAAATTTGAGAACATTTGTGCGAGAAATGGCTATGTTACTAGACTACAAAATGATGTCAATTTTCGGGGTAGTCTCTCTCTCTCTCTCTCTCTCTCTCTCTCTCTCTATATATATATATATATATATATATATATATATATATATATATATAAGCAAATATATGAATATAGAGCCGACAGTATGAAAAAAAATATACGGAAAAACAAACAAAAATCCTAATATGCAATTATGCTGTTTTAATGTTAATTTAATGTCAACGTCAGACGTTTCGGTCTAGTAGACCTTCTTCAGGACATATTTATAAAACATAATTAACATTAGACGATATTCAAGTCAACATGTAAAGACAATGGACATAAGAATAAGACTAATCAAAACTCTATTTACATAATTTTCATATATATATATATTCAAAAATGATAACATAAACATGTTATAACATCACCACAAAAATAACCATTTTGTTTCAACACTTCTACTGTCTTCTCAATGATGGTGTTGAATGTAGAATAATTGCTCTACTCTATTTACATTATTCGAACCATTGTCCTCATCCTTGTCGCCATATTTATTACAACGTTAGTTAGATCCACTGACAGGACCCAAAGAGTGTGAGTTCAATACATGGTTAAGGCGGTGGAGAATTAGCAGGAAATAACTGATAACTGACATCCATTAGTCATGGCACGTGGAACTAGAACAACCTATCCCAGTGAGCGAAATAGTGTTCAGTTGGACATTTCAACCACCTGAAGAAGCCCGGAGCGTAGTAAATAGTGTACATAATACTTCATCTCAGAAATATAGACAGATATTGCTCTACTCTGTATTGAGCAACCTTTTAGGAATTGTGTTTTTGGTTATTGGAATTTTATTCCGTCTGCATCAATCCGTGGATATATATATATATATATATATATATATATATATATATATATATATATATATATTATAATTCAATTCTTTTAGAACAAAAATTAAATAGGGCAAATATTATTTACGAATTTAAATGCCCATTAACGAATTGTATTCCTGATCAATCAAAATTCGTCAATAATTATATAAGCACACTACAACATGTTTGACACGCAGACTCACTCTACACCTTTCTGACCATAGCTCAATTAGATCTCATTTAAATATTCATGGGGGCCTACCGGACCCTATTCGTAACATGTTGACAATACAAATATAATAGCATCATCTACATGCAAAAAAGGCAAAAAATAATGGAATCCTTATTAATAAAAAAAAAAACACTTAATAATTTCAACAATGAACATGAACACAATATCTTCACCGTGTTTTAAAAAATGAAAAAATTATATAAAATATACATTCAAAAAACTATTTCTTATTTAACAGTTAAAATATTTAATCCTTGAAAATGGCTAAATGTACAGCCGAAAGCGCTCGGATAAAAGAGAACATTCGGACAGTTTTTATATAATTTATCATCAGTAAAGAAAAAAAAAATTATTAGATCATATGAGAAATTGTATAAAAACTAAATTGCTGAAATGTGCATGATAGAAGGATTTCTGCCTAAATACACACACACACACACGCACACACACACACACACACACACACTATATATATATATATATATATATATATATATATATATATATATAGTAGTTTATCGATGCTGTAACAGCTGTATTATATTTTGTTAAATCGTAACCAATTAAAGATTTTCGCATTTTTATTAGTTGTTAATATTGTTATTGTTGCAGTTTTTTGTGTATATCTATCTACTAGTGAGTTAGCCTAAATGACTTGACTCACTTTATAGTCCACCAATAGAAGGTTAACCAATCAAAAGACGTAGAATATTCAATCCGTCGTGTATAAATGCGGCTATTTTGTCTACTCTACCCGAATGTCTAGTCCAGCTTGTCAGGCGAAGAGAAACAGAAGGAAGAACTATGCTCTAATACTTTTACCAAGCTATCCACTGCTAACCTGAACAACGCTTTTCTACTGTCTTCAAAATATTCACTGCTAACCTCTGGATTCTATACTCAAAGACGACCGTCATCATGAACAACAGTTATCAACTCTTCCATGGAGACGGTCTTTTCGTATCCGGCTTCGTTTACATCATTTCATTATCTACTTTACTATTTTCTAAATAAAGACACTGCCACCAGGTACCGACAGTACAAGAAGGGTAAGCATAGTTAAGTCTCTTACAATGCCAACATTAATTCTTAGAGACATTTCGGAGAAAATATCTAAAAATGAGCTCAATATATTATATAGTAAAATTTGAGGGTGAATAAACAAACAAATTATAAAAATAAGCAAATAATAAAAAACAAATAAATCATAGAAAATAAATTATAAAAAACAAATAAATTATAAAAAATAAATAAATTATAGAAAATGAATAAATAAAAACAAATAAATCATAAAAAAATAAATGAATTATAAAAAAACAAATAAATCATAGAAAATAAATAAATTATAAAAAAATAAAAAAATAAAAACAAATAAATCATAAAAAATAAATAAATTATAAAAAACAAATAAATTAAAAAAATAAATAAATAAAAAACAAATAAATCATAAAAAATAAATAAATTATAAAAAAACAAAGAAATCATAGAAAATAAATAAATTATAAAAAAACAAATAAATTATAAAAATAAATACATTATAAATAAGTAAATAAATTATTAAAAAATAAATAAATTATAAAAACAGATAAATTATAAAAAATAAATATATTATAAAAACAAATAAATTATAAAAAACAAATAAATTATAAAAAAATAAATAAATTATAAAAAAACAAATGAATTATAAAAATAAACAAATTATAAAAAACAAATAAATTATAAAAAATAAATAAATTATAATGAATAAAAATAAATTTAGAAAATATACTAAAGAAAACGATACGTAAAAAATAACAGAGACGTGAAAAACTAAAAACAAGACAGCGAAATCTAAAAAATAAAGAAGCAAAAAAGCAAAGTAAAAAACAGTGAAGCAACAAACAAATATGAAACAGCCAAGGGCAGAAAACAATATAGAACCAAGAAAAACA